ATTGTTAATTTTAACTGGGCTTGAGGAAGAGTTTTCCTCCCAAGATTATTAATTATTTGAAAGGGAGAGCAACAGAAAGAGACATACAGAGAGAATGAGTATCTTTCATCTGCTACTTTACTCCTAAAATACTTCCACCAGCTGGGTTGGGTCAGGTCAAAGCCAGGAGCTGGAACTCTGTTCTGGAGTGGTAAAGACCCCAACCCTTGAGCCAGCATCTGATGCCTCTTGGGCTGCAAATCATCAGGAAGCTGGGCTAGATAGAAGTGGAGGAGCTGGGACTCAAACCCAGGCACTCTGATTCGGGACTCAGGCACGCCGAGTGATAACTGCTCTACAAAATGTTCACTCCAGACATGCTATCCTTAGCTTAGAAAACTAGGTCAAACCTCATTAGATGATATCAGTTCAATATTCACATAAAACTCACAACAAATTTCCTGTACTTTATCCAGACATTTAAAAAATAAAGCAGCTGAGTTTTCTAATCTCCACCAAAATCTTAAAGGGCTGATCTGAGAGCTTCTCTTAGGGAAGGGGAGGTTGTAAACCACAGAACTGAGATAATGAGGACACAGAAAAAAGCAGAGGGGGCTGCTGGCCTGAGCTCGGTAGAAACATTAAGCAGCACCAAAGGGCTGGTGGCCCCCAACTCTCCCCTCCATTAGTCCCAAATTTCCACTATCCAAGACACTAATAGGTTGTGTTCCATATTAGAGTACTGGATGCAATACCCAGTTCTGCTAATGTGGACGCTGGGAGGCAGCAGGTGATAGCTCAAGTAATTGGGTTCCTGCTCCCACATCAGAGACCCAGCTGGATTAAATCCCCAGGTCCTGGTTTTGGCTTAACCCAGAATCACTGTGTGGGGCAAATGTGGAGTAAATAAGCAGATGGTGGTGCTCTCTCTGAAATAACTAAAAAAAAAAAAAAAAAATTTAAGTGATACTCAACTTTCAAGGTGGTGAGCACACATACTCCACCTGTTACTAAATCAAGACTATAACTAATTTCTTTCTGTGACAATCATATGTCTGTAGCACTGAGTCATTCTTCCCAGTATGTCAGTTCCATGTCTAGATTCTAGAACAGGGAGTCTGCTATTAAAATAAACAAAACTCATCCTCAGCTGTAGTTTGTAGTTATTTCCTCTCCATTGCCAATGTCAGATGACGGACTCTGTTTAGCACAGGCAGAAGCTGCCTTCTTGGGCGGTCTATTTCTGACAAATATCTACTTTTTGGCATCAGTAGAATATTTACATCTATGTCTAATTCTCTAATAAGGTCAATAGGTTTGTAGTAAGCAACTGAATATGTGGAAAATCCAGGAAAATGGACTAGAAGTAATAAACATATTGTATTGTTTCTGAAAGCAGTCCTGATACAAAGATACTCAGGCACTGTGTCATCTGGTATGGTTAGGGCATTAAGTTGTCTCCCCTAATCTACTAAAAAATATTAGATGCTTGCAAGAGAAAAGGGGCAAAGGGGGAAGCAGGTGTTCTGCATAGTGAAGATGCTGCTTGCTTAGCAAGCCCACTGAGCTCCTGGGATTGAGTCCCTGCTCTCCTCAGTCCAGGTTCCTGCTAATGCAGACTCTGGATGCAGCAGCTGATGGCTCGTGCAGCTGGATCCCTGTCACACACAGGGCAGACCTGAATGACGTTCCCAGCTACTGGCTTTGGTCTGGCCCAGCCTAACTACTGCAGGTATTTGAGGACTGAATGTGATGAGAGTGGCAGAGAAATCTCTTTCTGTCCCTCCCTGCCTTTCAAGTAAATAAATTAATAATTTTTTTTAAACTTAAAAATAATAAAAAAAGGTGGGGGAGGGGACAAGGCACAAGAAGTGGAAGCTGAAGGTCACAATGAAAAACCTTGACTAGATGATCAGTAATCAGATCTGCGTGAAGTAGAAAGCAACTGCAGCCGCTTCCTCTGAAAGGCCAAGTTGGACTTTGCAATAGCATTAAATGTTTAGTGACTTTCCACCTCACTGACCCAGGGAGCTAAAGGCTCTTGAGATTAGCACCTTGGTAACAAGGTTGGTGCCAGCCAGTGCCAAGAAGTAGGCTGAATCCCAAATGAAATAAAATCTAAGGCAGCATCTTTGATAACTCTAGTCCTGTCTATAATTTTACTTGCTATTAAGCAAAATGTGATGATCCTCACCTCCCACCACCTGGCCCGGCCACCTTGCTGTTCAGTCGCCAGGTAACAGGCTCCACAGCATTTGAAGGTGGGAGACTTGCTCTTCCTAACCCAGTCTATCAGCTGTTGTTGTTATGCTTCGAATGAATAAACACTCCTATTTCCGACTGTCTCTTTCTGCAACTGCCATTCAAATAAATGAAATAAATTTAAAAATGAAAGTAAACAGTGAGCTTTTTTGGGTACAAAAACCTTGAGATCAGTGGGGCTGGTGATGTGGTACAGCGTTTGAAGCTGCTGTCTATAGTGCTGACATTGCATATGAGTGACGGTTCAGATCACAGCTGCTCTACTTCTAGTCCAGTTCCCTACTGATGCATGCAGGAAAGCATCAGAGGATGACTCACCTTCTTGGGCCACTGCAACCATGTGGGAGACCTGGATGAAGCACCTGGTTCCCGACTGGCTTGGCCTAGCCTTGGCTATTGTGACCACTGGGGGAGTGAACCAGCAAATAAGATTCTTTCTCTCCCTTTCTCTCGTTTTGTCTTTCAAATAAATAAACAAATCTTTTAAAACAATGATACCTGTATTTTTTTTTCAAAATACATGTTTTTATGAACTTGTTGAAGATTTCACATATACACAGATTCACTTTTTTGAAAGGCAAAGTGAGAAAAACAGAAGGACACATGCACAAAGAAAGAGAGTCACTTAGGTTTTCCACATGGGCAACAGGGACCCAAGTGTTTGGCCTTCATCATTCCCTTCCCAGAACATCAGCAGGAACCTGAGTTGGAAATGGGTTAGTCAGGACTTTGGCATTCTAATGTGGGGTATGGGCATAGCAAGTGGCAGATTAACCTGCTTGCCACAATGTCCATGCTTCAAATTTTTTATGCCAAAATAAGCTTATCTTTTAATTCTACTTTGATGAACTGCTCGACATTCTCTAGTATGTATAAGAAAAAATAATACACAAAGGGTCTGACACTATCCAGGGTTTCAAGCATTTACTAGGGTTCTTGGAGTGTATACCTAATAGATAAAAAGGGAACTACTGTTTAGTGAAATCCTCTTGGGAATGCCAAGCAATTGATATGAGAGCTAGTTTTCGCCTGCTAAATCTTGTGTCCAGTAACACTAACAGTGTACGACAGTGACTGTTAACCTGTTTGGCCACAGGATCTACTTAAGGCATATCTGTAGAGTCTATTTCTGCATGGGGGCAGGGAGGGAGGGAGGATATAAAAAGCATAGCCAGAATGCTTTTTTATATGTGTACTACTCTAGGCACTATACTACACGACCCTACTTTAGTATCAACAACTCTAAGAGAAAGGTGGAAAAAAACCAAAAAACAAAAAGTAAGTCTCAGAAGCATTATGTAACTTTTTCCAAAGATCCTAGAATTGGTAAGATTTATATGCAGGTAATTTAACTCAGAAGTTCATGCTCTTTCCATGTAGCCTTTTTTTTTTTTTTTAAAAAAAGTTTCCCTCCCAGGGAAAGTATCACAAAGTTTACTACATGGTCCATCTATACCATGGAATATGGAACTAATTTTTTAACGAATCTGCATGATGTAGGCTGGGCAGCAGACCCACGGACACAGCTTTCTCTGCTATAGGAATATGGTGAAGAGCACTGGCTGCAGAGGTAAGAAAATCCCAGCAGGACCAGGGATGATGAGTCTTTCTGATGAGTCTCTTTCCTGTCTTTCTGATGAATCGTAGTCAAACTTGGCCTATCTTCTTTATAAGCCAGAATAAGCTCTGCATTTGCCAGCTCTGTTGCTGGTGGAAATCAGTAATATACCTGCTCTTAAAAACAACAACTACATTAAAAGAATTTCTTCAAAAGGATGGTGCGTAACAGGCAGCACACCTCCATGAGGATGCCAACCCAACAGAATGGGAAGCAATTTTACATCCACTCTGGTTTGATGAGAAAAATCATCAAATCAGGTTCAAGTTGATTGTGACAGAGTATTGAGCTAAATTAGTTATGTTGGCCATGGTGAAGGGTGTATGTGTGTGTTTCTCTCTCTCCCCTCTATTTTTCTTTGTCTTTTCTCTCTGTGACTTTGTCTGCCAAATAAATTAAACAAATAAAAAATTTTAAATCAATTACAATAAGCTGTACAGAGGCAAAAAGTAGTGGATAAAGTCACTGCCTGTGGCACTGATATGTGGGTTCTGGTTTGAGTTCTGGTTGCATAGCTTCTGTTTCAATTCCCTGCTAACATGCTTGGGAAAGTGATGGAGGTCCTTGGGCCACTGGACCCACATGAGAGACCTGGAAAGACTTCTTGATTCCTGACTTTAGACTGGTCCAGCTCTTGCTGTTGTAACAATTTGGGGAGATGGAAGATCTCTCTGTGTTTCTCTCTCCCCTCTCCCCCCCTTTTTTTGTTGTTAACTCTGGCTTTGAAATAAATATTTAAATAAATAAATCTATTAGAAAAAAACAAAAACAAACAACATAAACAAGCAAGAAAAGTTTAAATGATTCCAAGTCACAGAAATAAATAATAGGTTAGTTCTTTTTTCCCTATCTGAGACATATCAGAGGTCTGTTCCATGGGCTAAATGATAGCCTGTGTTCTCTAATGGGATCTGTAAGTATTTAGCAAAACACAGGGTTACAGTGCTGCTTTCTAAATCTCTATGCATACACTGAGTCTTGGGGAGTAACACTGAGAACAAACCAGTCACCTTCATCGTAACCTTGCCTTGAGAAGAAACAGACACCGTCTCCTCGGTAGAATTCTCGGTGAGCAGTGCATCTCACTTTTTCAAAACCCATACAAAATGCATACAAAATAGAGCACAGATCTATGGCTTACCTGGGATCACAGAGAAATTTGGTTTTCTCTCCTTCTTCTCTCCAGATAAGCCATTCTCGGAAAGAAGGATGCACAAACATACGGGTCATGTCTCTGCGCTTGATCAGGAACATGGAGAGGTTCTCCATTCTCTGCTGGAAATCCTCCCACTCCAGCGTGCCTTCAATGCTGCCAGCGTTAATGGCCTGGAAGATGTGCTCATCGGTCAGCGGGTGCAAAGAGGCCACCGCCACATTCAGGAGAGGCATCACCCGGTCGAAGGAAGACTGCGTAGGGAACTTCATATTGCACTGGAGTAAATACACTTCGGAGAGTGAAACAGGAACTACTTTGTAGCTGGAGCTCTTTAGCACTAGGTAGCCTTTCTCTATGAGGTCAAACGTGAGTTTCAGGTACAGGTAGGAACCTTGACTTAGGGTCTTGAGATGAGAACTCAGTTTGCCAAATGTGGTATTATCCATTTTGCCATTAAGTGAAATGTTATTCTGGATCTCTGAGCTGCTGTGTATCCGGTGCAGGATATAAGCCTGCAGGTCCTGGTCTATGGCTTCATTTTCTTCTAGTCGATCCAAAAAAATCCTATGGAAAGGCAGCAGCTTGGTAATTTCCTAAAACAGATGGAGAGAAAGACAGAGAGACCTTCAGTTTTCCCTAACTCCTGTGATACACTATGAGGTCCACAGATTCATCCTTAACCTCTGAAGGGTCAAGGAGGAGAACATGATCAAGTATTAGTAGCCACAGATTAAAATGATTTAATTGCACAGGAAAGATACAAGTTATTCCAATATTGAGACTCGAGATTATTATTTTGAATGGGTCTTTGTAAAGGCCATTTTAGGAATGACTTCTCAGACAATATTCTAAAGATTTGTATAGAAAATGAAATGCTGTGTGAATACACACATTCTTCTCTGCATGAACACTATGGCAGGATGCCAGGTTGGTATGAGAAGTACTGAAGGATTCCAATCATGCCATCCAAAAACGTGGCTCCTACCTCTCCTGACAACACTCCTGCGTTTGCACAGAAGCCTCGGGCTCTCGTGCTTGAGGAACACTAAGCAGGAAGCTTAACCTCTTGGTGCTCTTGCTCAGAACACGTACCAGGGAGAGGTGGCAGGCTTTGGGATAACTGCTGATTCCATCCATCTCACCTACTGATGGAACTCGCTCATGAAGTACTCTCCTCCTCATTCACTTTTTTCTTCTCAGTTGGGCTAGAGACATACACAAAATCTTCAACTCTTCTTGCAGCTACCGCCCCGCTTGAGTCTTCTCATTTTCAGTAAGATTTCACAGAAGTTTGCTTTACTAATTCCTCCCCCCTTCACCTTCTTGTCTCCATTTGTTCCAACCTATCACTTCACTGAAAGCTTCTTGTCAAGGTGATCAGTAAGCGTCATCTTGGCAAATTCAATAATCAAGTTTCAATTTTCATCTTCCTTAGTCTCTCAGCAGTGTATGACAAAGCTGGTGAGACCTTCCTGCATCTTTCTTCCACCTTTCCTTTGTTTTTTTTTTCCCCCTCAGCACACCAGTCAAGCTTACCTACCCTTTGCTGTTGCCTCTGCATTCATTTCCCAGCCCCCTCAGGGCTCTGATCTCTGCTCTGCTCTTTCTCATTCCCTTGGGCAGTTTTAGTCCCAGGGTTCTAAGTATCATCTCCAGGTGGATGATGTCTAAGTTTCCTTCCAGCTTAGTCATCTGCCCAGAGTTCCCATCTTCTGTCTTCGCCTATTTAATATTGACAGGCAGATGTTTCAGATGAACCAGGTGACCAGATCAGAGCTACTGAATTCTTCCCCTTCTACAAAGTTTTTATTGTTTCAATAAACAGCATGACCTCCTGCTTTACTGCCAAATCTTCAGAATTATTGATGACCCTTTTCTTTCTCTTGAAAGAGTGTTCACCCCTTTGCTCACCAAAAAGCCCAGGCTTCATCTGAATGCTTCTCTTTTGCTTATATCCACATTCAGACCATCACGTCTTTCTGACTCTCCTTTAACATATCCCTCATACGACAACTTGACGTGGCTTTTATTATTATCATTGCAGTCTAACATACTTCCACTTAACATACTTGCAATCTTAGCATATGTTTAATTTTTTATTTATTTGTTTCCTTATTGGAATTCAGGCTTTTATGGGGGCAGGAATAGTGTAGCTCACAAAACAGTGTCTGATATATTCCAAACACATTCGTGGAAAATATGTATGTTAAAAAACGGGGATACATGCCTTATAAATCTATGAATTATTCTGCTGTCATAGCCAAAGGAAAAATTTTAAAAATTCTTAGTTGAAATAAATGAAGTATCTGAAAAAAATTACTATAGGTCTCTGCTCATTAAGATAAAAAACTAGGGACTTCGTAGTTAATATGTATTGTATTTTTTTCTGTTCCTTGGTGTTGGTAAAAAAATCAAGTTACTTTTTCTATCCAAGCTCAAAATTTCTTCTGAGACTACACATAGCATTATGTGAAACTATGTATGAAGGAAGCATTCATTCAATAAAAGTAGCCAGCAATTGTGTTCCTAGACATTTCTTCTGGTCATTCTTCATTGGTAACAATTAAGTTACCGGCCAGTAATAACAGGGTAGGCAATTTTTAGTTGTAAACATATATTTATGTTGACTCACTCACATTTTTAAAATTCAAATTATTTTGAGATTACAGGATTAGAAACATAGTATTCAATCATTAGGAATATAGTTTCTAATTGGTCAACATAGAAGCATAACAATAAAAGCCTGGGAAAGGGGAAAAAAGCAACTTTGTGCACATTATGTGCATTGTAAGGGTATAGCATCAAAATAATGAGATGGTTAGAATGCATGTTATTTTAATATTCATGAAAAGAGGGGGTGGCTTGAAAAAAGAGTGCACTGCTTCAAATCAACTGTGAGTAAGTAAAGAATGGGAGATACCAATGGGAATGCGGACTCACTCATCGTTAGCCCATGTGTTTCTAGAGGCTCAGCTCCATATTGCTGGGTCTCGTTCTGGGCCATTCAGTGATCAGTGGATGAACACAGAAGGCAATTAAAAAAAAGTATCTCCTGGTTGTAGTGCATTCAGTAGGAAGCCCCAATCCTGGCACTAGCAGAAGAGGGCATTTACAGAATAAAGCTCACTTTCATGCCATGGAAGAGTTGCTCAATAGAAGCAGATGGAGGAACCAGAAAATCTGACTCCAGGCAACAGACCGAACTGGACAGTGCACAAGATTAAATGATCAAAAATAACAGTTCAGACTTTCTTTGCATTGCTGTCCTCAGGAAAAAGTCTAGAAAAATGGAATTTCTTTTTTTATTTTAAGGGACGTTTTAGTAATCCTTATCCAGAGCAATGGGGATAGGAATCGGAGAGTTACACACAGAGAAAGCACTCTCGAGTTGACATTTCTAACTCTTAAAACAGAAATTATTCTTACAAATGCTCTAGGATATGGTTGAGGTTCTGAGTCATCATGAAAGGAACTGGACTTAAAACTTCGTCAGATTAAGTCCTTTCCATGAAAAATAACTTCGGGTTCAAAGGCAAATAAACACATACCTGTAAACTGGTCCTAACTGTTACAATTAGTTTGAGCCAAGAAGGAAATTTTCCAATCATTTTACTCAGAAATGATACAATTGTATCCCCATAATCCGGTTTGTGAAATTCTGCTTCATTTAATCCATCAATTAAAATGATGAAATCTTCATCTGGGATTTTTCTCTCTGAGATAAAAAGAAACAAATTATTTAATAATTACCAAGTAGGTAAACGAGTTTTCTTGAGTCTTTTGACCATATATCTGTTTGAAAAAAAATATCAGAAAGATTTCTTATTTTATTGAATGTTCAGGGCACATGATTTATTATAAATAGATGGAATACATTTATTGAATTTATTTTGCTTTTCAACAGGTGTGAAAGCTTTTGTCATATACATAAGATATCAGTAAACAGATCACCATTTTCAGAAATCCCCATGTTATCAGTTATGAGAGTGAAGCTTTGGAATTATGCAAATTTCCACATAGAAATCGATTTTTCTACCACACATGAAAAAGCATAAGAAAACGTGTTCTGTTTCTTAGTATCACATGTTATTTTGAAAATTTTCCCCAAATGGTTGAATTTGAAGTCTAAAGCAAAGGCTCTACTTGACAGGTGGTGGGAAGCAAGGGTTGGAAGGACACAGGAAAGATATCCCAGGCCGCAGACAGACCTGGACTGGGGAGCAAGATTCCAAGACGCTAGCCGTCTCTTATACCGTCCAGGAAGCAGGAGACCTGTCCTTCACAAGCTCTGCCAAGTGGAGGCAGTTCATGGAGAAAGATGGCACCTGGTGTTTGTGTCCAGTACCCTTTGTTACTTTACACAGATTGAATTTGATGAAATAGGTTTCAGGTCAAGGCCAAAGAAACAGGCTTGAGAGATTTCCAGCTGTTTATTACTGATTCTTGAACAATACTGAACAATTAGAGGAAAAAAAAAAACCCAAACCCAGTCTGAATGAACATTTTAATATACATGAATGCTAACAGCTATAAATTACTAGTTAGTACAACCTTGTGGGTTCAGAAGGGAGGAAAGGAGAAGGAAGCGGGCCAAGGATCATCGGATGTTTCAAGGAAGCAATTTAAGTTTTAGCTGAGGAAGAAAGATCGATGAAACTGGATTCAGAAGAAAAGCTTGGAGAATTTTGTGTAGGATTGGCTCTTCTTGCCTTTAAAGATTCAACACGGGGGCAGAATCCCGTGTTCGAGTGCAGCTGCTGTACTTTTGATCTAACGCTCTGCTACTGGCCTGGGAAAAGCAGTGGAAGGTGACCGTGGTGCTTGGGCCCCTGTCACCCATGTGGGAGACCGGGAGGAGCTCCTGACTTCTGACCTCAGCCTGGCCCAGCCCTGGTACTGCAGCCATCTGGGGAGTGACCCAGCAGATCTAGGGGCTCTCTCTGTCTCTCCCTCTTTAATTCTGACTTTGAAATAAATGGATAAACCTTTAATTTAAAAAAAGTCAAGACCGATAAAAATGGTGTATATTATTTTGGTTTCACATATTCAAATGTGAAAAATCTTTTGTAATGATTACTAATAAGCCTTCATATTTTTTCTCCTGAATGTAAGTTTCGTATAAAGGAGATAAATTTCAATATCTTACATACTTTAAGTCAGCTGTCAAAAATAATCAACTTTTAACTATTATGTTCACCTTATGACTTTTTAGGATGAGAGATGATTCTACAAGCTCTAGTTATTAACAATGAGGCCATTCTAGGTGAGATAACACAGCACTCCTTAAGGGAACCCAAAGAATTAAGGAAGAGCAACAGAAGTTACTTGGAAGTAAAGGGGTTATCCAAACAACTGGGCTTAGCACATCTGGACTTGAGCACTCTGCTTCCTTTAGTCTTGACTGCGCCTCATTTCCATAGAGGGAATTTCTACTGGCATTTTGCTTGGCTGAACACCAGCAACTTGTTCCATCCTGTGGGATGCTGGAGCTAGCTTGCTCAGGACTGGTTCAGGAGAGCCTACTCTAATAGTTTCAAAAGTTACCTGTTAAAGAGCTAGTAGCTTGTGGTAGGCTGTAAAGGGAGTATTTACGCAATAGGAACTGAAAAATGTGTACACATCAGCTCTCCTTGCCCAAGCGGCTATTAACAGCTTACTGGTACCTCATTGCCCTCATCCTTCAACTACACCTCCTTTAACTTCATTCAGTTTCCTTTCTAACAGTCACGATCTCCAAGTGGATGGAAAGCTTGATAATACAGCTGTTGAAATTTTCTCTGAGAAAAACATTTCAAATGATTCTCAAAGACGAAGATCAAGAATGCGCTCCAAAGTAGGACCTGATGAGCTAATTTATTTGTTAATAAAATTATATTTTAATTTGCATAAATTCCAAGTAGGTTACATTATTCATCCCCTGAAATAATTCACTTACTAATAAAATTATATTTTAATTTGTATAAATTCTAAGTAGATTACATTATTCATCCCTGAGGTAAAGTAGACAATATATTACTTTTCTTAAAAAAAGAGGATATTAGTCCCTTTAGTGAAGATAATCATAGTGTTTTTTTTTAAGGATTTATTTGTTTTTATTGGAAAGGCAGATTTACAGAGAGAAAGATCTTCTATCTGCTGGTTCACTTCCAAAATAGCCATAATGGCTGCAGCCAAGCCTATCTGAAGCCAGGAGCCAGGAATTTCTTCCTGGTTTTTCACATGGGTACAGGGGCCCAAGGCCCTGGGTCGTCCTCCATTGCTTTCCCAGATCACAAGCTGGGAGCTGGATGGGAAGTGGAGCAGCCGGATACAAACTGTCACCTACATGGGGTCCTGGTGTTTGCAGGGGGAGGGTTAGCCAATCGAGCTGACGCAAGCTAATCATACTCTTTTAAATTCCTCTCATTTGAAGGTGGTTGGTATGTCAGTTAAGGGTTTCAGATTTTAAGAAGTAAAGACAACACGCTTAAGTAATGATATCATAATTTTTAGGATTAGAACAATAAGTACAAGAAATTTACTAATATTACTTATATTGTGAAATGTGCTACTCCTAAAATAATTGAGGTTTCTTAACCATAAATTTAACAGGTAAGACCTTCATGATCTTTAGACTTTACCTTTCAAATGCAAACAGTACTGCAAGAATGCTTCTGCATATTTATTTTCAAACTTCTGTAGATTTAAATATTCTTTCAGTAGCTTTTAAGATTTTACTTGTGAAAATTTTTTAAAATTAGGAGTTAATTAACAATTACTAATGTATATTTTTCCATGTAAGAACATTTCAAATACTTGTACAAATGCTATCCACTTAGCACTATTCACAGAATAAGAGGTATGTTAACATTAAAAAAGTAGGAATACATTATTTAACATTTACACACATATTTATATAAAATCATATTATATTAGTGTGGTGGCTCAACTGGCTAATCCTCTGTCTGCAAGTGCTGGCATTCTATGTGGTCACTAGTTTATGTCCTGCTGCACTTCCCAGTCCACCTCTCTGCCGACGGCATGGGAAAGCTGCAGAGGACGGAGGCTTTCGGCCTTGCTTCCACGTGGGAGGCCAGGAGGAAGCTCGCGAGCTCAGCTCTGGCTGCTGCAGCCATTTGAGGAGTGGGCAAGAGATGGAAGACTTCTTTGTCTCCTCTCTCAGAAAACATCTGTCTTTCAAATGAAAATAAATATATCTTAAAGAAACTACAAAATTCTACATAGTTCTTATTTTCTTATGGATTAACTGAAAACTATAAGCGTGCTTGTATTTGGGAGTCACTGTTCTAGCTGACGAGTCATTTAATTCCTTGTAAATGTATGTTTGCCAGGGATTCTCCATGGCCTCCGCTTACATGTAGACTTCACAAATACTTGAACTGTCTTCCTTATAAATCTCTTAATACTCTCCTAGATGTGTAAGAGAAGTAAAAATTACAGAGGCTGCAAGTGAACTCATGGCAGCTAGTACTGAAGTCAGAACAGTCCAGTGCCCGAAACCCGTTTATGAAGAGACGGGCTAAGAATGAAAAGACATACATCAGCTAATTTGTTGAAACAAAACTTTGACATACAACTGGTTTACCTTTCTCTTGCTTGTACTAACAGATTAAATGTTTCTTTTCATTTCATATTGGTGGCTGAGGCAAAAGTTCAGTGAAAGTTTCAAAAAATTACCACTATTTTGCATTCTATATGTTCTACATCACTACACTTGCAGAACCTTAAAACACTGTGTAAAACTGAAAAAAAAGATTAAAAAATTAAAAAAAGGAAATATAAAAAAAGAAAAAAATCCACTGTGAAAAAAGTATTATGATTTTTTTTTTCAAAGAAAAATGCATCATCTGAAATTGAAGTTCTGATTCTAAGAACTTTTCTGGAAATAAAACTAGCTCCTTTAAAAAAAATAGGTAATTTTTAAATTACTGTAATAAATACAGTGACTGGCAAAGAACTTCACTTATATTTTGATGAGTTCTGACAGATGCATATACACACGTAACCAATATTCTACTCAAAATATAGAGTATTTCTTCTAGAAAATGCCCTCAGGGTTCCTTCCCATCAATCTTCCCAGAAAAACCACTGCTCTGATTTAGTCACCGCAGAGTACAGCTGGTTCTTTTGCTTGACATATTATTCCTGAGACTGATCTACAATATTACGTAGATTACTAGTCTGTTCCTTTATATTACTAAGAACCATCTCATTGAAAGAACATACTAACGGCTGTTTATTCTTGAGGGCCATCTGGGCTACTTCCTGTTTTTGACCACTATGAACAAAGCTTCCAGGAACATCTCAAATAAGGTAACATCTCTCTTAGGTAAATATAAAGCAATAGAACTGCTTACAGAATAACCTGCCATATTATTTTCTAAAGTAGTAATACCACTTCATAGTTGTACCTACAAAAATGTGTAAGCATTTCAGTTATCATGCTAACCAACATTTAGTATTCATTCTTTTAAATTTTAAACATTCTAATAGGTGTGAAGTGGTATTCTGCATTTAAATTCATATCTCCCTGATGGCTAATGATATAAACACTTTTAAATGTGGTTATAGGCTATTAATATATCTTTTTCTGTGAAGTATCTAAATCTCTGCTCATTTAAAAATGGTATTGTTTATCTTGTCACTGAATGGTAGGCCTTCTTCAGGTTCTGTGGATACAAATGCTCTCTGTCTCACGAATATAGTGAATAGTCATATTTTCTCCCCTTTTGTAACTTGCTTTCCCTTTTTCTAAGTGATAGCTTTTGTTGAACAGTTGCTTTTAATTTTGTTGAAGTCTACTTTATCATTTTTTTCTTATGAGTAATTTTAATGTTTCATGAAAAATTTTACTTAATTAAAGATTGTGAAGTTATTGTGTTTTTCCTATTAGTTTTAGGGATTAAGTTTTTTTTGTTTCCATCTGTGATCCATTTATCTCAAATCAATTTTGGTGTATGGTGTGAGGTAAGGATTGAGATTCACTTTCTCTCTCACTACTACTGTCTTTCCCAAATTGTCCTGGAGTCTTTGAGAAGATCAATTGATTATATATGCATGGGCCTATTTTTGGATTGTCAATTCTGTTGAATTGATCTATTTTATATCCTGTTTTATGAGAGCCGACTGTTGAATTTTTTTAAAGACTTATTTATTTTTATTGGAAATGCAGATTTACAAAGGAAGGAGATACAGAAAGATCTTCCATCTGATGATTCACTCCCCATGGAGCGGCAGCGGCTGGAGGTGAGCCGATTCCAAGCCAGGAGCCTCCTCCAGGTGCAGGGTCCTAAAGCCTTGGGCCATCCTCAACTGCTTTTCCAGGCCACAAGCAGGGAGCTGGATGGGAAGCGGGGCTGCTAGGATTAGAACCGGCATCCATATGGGATCCCAGTGCGTGCAAGGTGAGGACTTAAGCTAGGCTATCATATGCCAGGCCCCAAAGGTTTTTATTTTGAAAAGATTTAATTTATTTGAAAAGTAGAGTTATAGAGAGAGGTGGTGGACACTGAAAGAGAGAAAGATACCTTGTATATTTTGATTTACTCCCCAAATGGCTGTAATGCTCAGGTCAGAGCTGGGTTGAAGCTAGAAGCCTGAACTCTTTCCAGGTCTGGATTGAAGCGAAGCAGCAGGAACTCCACTCTGGGCTAGTATGGAATATCAGCACAGCAGGTGGCATTTAACGTGCTGTGCCACAATGCTGGCTTCTAGAAGCAACACTGATATTTTGTTCTTGACCTTGGGGATTAAGTATTCAACATTTTACCTTAAGTTATGTTGTTTGGAAAACTGCCCTTTGTCAAACTAGGATTCAACTGTTTCACAAAAGTAATTATTTTTATCTTCTTGAAAAGCAGAGTAGGAGAGAGAAAAAGGGATGTGGGAGAGAGAGAGGGGGAGTGTTCTATTTGCTGTTTCATGCCCCACATGCCATGCCTGGACCAGGCCAAAGCCAGGATCCAGGAACTGTATCTGGATCTTCCTAAACGGGCTCTCCACCGCCTCCTGGCTTCCATTCATTCATTCATAAATGAGAAGGCAGCTGGGACTCAAATCAGCACTCCATCCTGGATGCAGGCATCCCAAGCAGCAGGTTAACTTGCAACGCAGGGCCTGCCCGTAAGCTTGCTTTCATCCCTACTTTGCAGTTTTAGAAAAAGAATTACCAATTGGCGTGGTAATTTGTTTAATGCTTTTCTGAATTTATTAAGAAAATTACATGGATGGTTTCCTTTATTTTGTTAATGTGATGAATTACACTGATTAACTTCAAAGTGCTAAACTAATATCGCATTCCTGCTAAAAATAGGCTAATCAATTTGTTAGTTTTCCTTCAGGATTTTGCAATAATAGTAATAAGGAAAATGGTCTCTGTAATTATATTTTCCCATGGTCCTTAATTATATTTTGGTGTCAGGATTATGTTTACCTAAAAAGATAAGATGAAGGAAGTTGTATTCTTCCTTTTTTTTTAAAGATTCATTTATTTTCATTGGAAACTAATATATAAAGAGAGGATGAGAGACAGTCAGAGAACGCTCTTCCACCCACTGACTGACTCCCCAAGTGACAGCAACGGCTGGAGCTATGCCAATCCTAAGCCAGAAGCCAGGAGCTTCCTCCAGGTCTCCCACGCGGGTGCAGGGTCCCAAGGCTTCGGGCCGTCCCCGACTGCTTTCCCAGGCCACAAGCAGGGAGCTGGATGGGAGGCAGGGCTGCCGGGATTAGAACCTGCACCCACATGGGATCCCGGTGTGTTCAAGGCGAGGACTTTAGCCACTAGGCTGCTGTGTTGGGCCCTCTCCTTTATTTTCTAACTCATTTGTGTAATATTGGTATTATTTCTTCAAATGTTGTATACAACTCGTTAGTGAAACCATTTAAACTTACATTTTTCTTGGTGTAAATATTTTTTTCTTTTAAATCATAACCACAGTGAACAGAGCACTGCTGACTTTCTGTTTATTCTTGCGTCACCACGGGTAGACTGTGCTAAGGATCAGCTAACTTGCTGAATTGGTGTAAAGCTCTTTATATCCTTTACTTCTCTATTAACGTATGCACAAACTGCAGTGGCAGTTCCACTTTATTCTTGATGTTCTTAATTTGTGTTTCATTTTCTTGATTGGTCTTGCTCAGATTTTTCCGTTTTCATGACTGATTTTCTATTTCACTAATTCCTTCTTGCTTTTATTATTTTCTTATTTCTGTTTACTCTAGGTGTATTTTTCTTTACTTTTTCCAGATTATTACGTCAGGAATCTCGACAATTCTGTATTGCTCAGTTTGAAATGTAATTGCTTGTGTGATTTCTCCTTTAATCCATGGTTTGTTTAAAAGTGTTTAATTTCTAAATATTTAAAGATTTTCGTATTACTGCTTCCTAATTTAACATCATTATTTTAGAGAATATATTCTGTAGACCTACTTGTTGAATATCACAAATGAGATAAAAAACAATCTAATGTCGATGTAGAAGGACATTGTGTTTGACTGGAAAAGGCAGGGGAAGCAGCAGGTATTTAACGAATGATGTTGCATTTAAGCTGCTCCGAGAGAGAGAGAGAGAGAGAGAGAGAGAGAGAGAGAGAAAATATACTGACAGAAGACATGTAAAGAGAAGGCAAATCAGAAAAGGAATAATGAATAAATGTATGGAGCAGAAAAACACAGGGGGTATATTTAAGCACCAGCAGTATTTTGGTTTATATGTAAACATATGGTTCATAAGAATAGAAGCGAACAGAAGGTGTAGAAGCCAGCTTGAATCCAGGCCGTCAAGCGCCATGAGTGCTAGCTTAGACTAAGGGCCCTAAGCTAATTCAGAAGGCGATAGGGAGTCATTGGTTTCTGAGCTGGGAAATTAAGCGATCAGAGCAATGCCTTCTGCTGCTTCAGGTGGCAGTAGTTCATCATAACCAGACGGCTAGGGAGCTGGATAGAACTTTTGCCCCAGGTACCAGGGAAGGCTTGTAAGTGTGAAAATGAAAAATGAATCTCAGCTCTCAGGCCACGTGGGGCCTAGGAGCTTCAGAGTTAGTCATGGCCAGTCACAAAGAGTCAGGAGTTTTTATCACAGTGTTATGATATGAAAGAAGCACTAAACCAGAGGACTCAAGAAGACCATGAAGGGGTAGTAATACAGATATGATGCTATGGGAAATGGAACAGGCATCAGGGTTGGAACGAGTTTGTGAAAATATCATAAAGTTAGAATTAACATGGTTTAGAGACTGAATATATGGAAAAATGGGCTTAAAATATTTGTAAAAAAAAATTCAAGATTTGGGAAATTCTAAGGTATGGTCAGGTTAATGGGCAGCAGATGTAGACACAGGTCATCAGAACGAAGAGGAAACTTCTGAGATCCAAGTAACTACAGACACTATGGGCACGTCTGAAACCCTTGAAAACATCCAAGTCCCTCAGGAATAAACAGGATTGCTCAGGATTCACAGAATCAACTGCTTTTCTTTGGCTTCCAGAAAGGACAGAACATTAGTAAGCGCATAGGGCAGAGGGAGACGTAGGAAGGCCAGTACCCCCTTAAAGGAAATGGCTGCACACCTCCATCAGTCACTGCTGACGCTGGAATTACAGAACAAGAGAGTAAAGCTATGAGCACAAACGGAAGAGGGATTACATTTATCTGTTGCTTTTGAAAACGATAGATTTCTTAAGAAAGATAGCCATAAAATCTCTTACATATCTTTAAAGTACTTTTAAAATTATATAATTGATTTCTAGTATATGCACATTGGTGTACAGCCCTGGATGCTTCTCCTGAACTAACGGAGTAAAAAAAAGTACTATGTAAGTACGGGGAGGTTTCTAATCAGAGAAATTCCAAGACACTGAATTGGAGCCACAGTGTAACTGACCCTGCAGGACACCTGCTGGGGAACGTGCAGGTGTGGCAGTGTGACAATCATTCCTATAACATGGCCCAGGTGACCTGCGGCTCCAAAGCCTCTATCTTTCACTTCCCATGGCCCTCATCTGTACCTTTGTGCAGAGTCTCTAGAGGCTCTAGGACTCCCCTCCGGAAGGAGGCCATGGGGTCTTGAACACAGGACCGAAGGCTCAGCATGCTCTGCAGGTGAGGCTCTCGCAGAAGCTGTTCCCGATAGGCTGTCAGCTGAGGCGAGCGGCAGAGCAGGGCAGCAACATTGTGGACAAATTCTGGCACCAGGCAGGTATAGGCATTATCTGCTTGGCAATAGTGATAGGCAACCACCTACAAAGTAAGGGGAGAATACAAACAAGTTTAGGAGTAACAAGAGCAGCAATTATAGCTATTATTCGATCATCCTCTAACACTGTATTTTGCTTCTCCATTCTTCTCTAATTAAATTTTTTTTGTTGTTTTTATTGGAAAGTCAGATATACTGAGAGGAGGGGAGACAGAGAGGAAGATCCTCCATCCACTGATTGACTCCCCAGGTGGCCACAACAGCCAGAGCAGAGCTGGGCCAAAGCCAGGAGCCAGGAGCCTCTTCCAGGTCTCCCACGTGGGTGCAGTGTCCTAAGGCTTTGGGCCGTCCTCGGCTGCTTTCCCAGAGCATGTGCAACAAGGGGACCCCAGGTTAATATTGGGGAGGCTGTTCCACATCTCTGGGGTCAGTTGGGAGGTGGGTATGGCTTCTTTCCTTATCTAACTCCTCCTCCCAGAAACAGGAAGCAGAAATAAAAATTCAGAAATGATGACTATACACACTTTTCCCTAACCCTGGATCCTTCCCAACCTGATCAACTATGTAAACATCATCTTAAACAAACAAACAAACAAAACAAAAAACAGGAAGGCATGATGGCTCAGTGGCTAAATATTCACCCTTTAAGTGTTGGGATCTCATATGGGTACCAGTTCGTGTTCTAGCTGCTTCATTTCCCATCTAGCCCCTGCTTATGGCTTGGAAAGCAGTTGAGATCCTGCACCCACCTAGGAGACTTGGAACAAGCTCCTGGCTCCTGGCTTTGGGTTGGCCCATCTCCGGCTGTTGTAGCCATTTGGGGAGTAGACCAGTGGATGGAAGATCTTTCTCTCTGTAAATCTAATCTGCCTTTCCAATAAAAATAAAGATTTTTAAAAATTTAAAAATACAACTTAAATTTCCCTTCTGGATCATGAGGAATGAAAAACAAGCCTGAGAATACATATTTACATTAAAAATATCATTAATATTTGTTTATACAGTATGCAACAGTATAATAAAATCTGATACTGTAACAAAGCATTAGGAATTAAAATAATCAAAGGGAAATCCTGTTAGTCTCAACACCCATGCATGCCTATATGACTTTTTAGACTGTAGTTTTGTTATAAACTAAGCCTTAAACAGAATAAAGTATTTGATTTAAAAATGATCCCTATTTTCTGAGCACCAGGCAGTATTAGAATAAAGTAAGCAGAAAGAGGATGAGATTTCTGTTAGGCACACATCTTAAACGAATCAGAAATCGGTGAGCCTTCGTGTTGTCCAGGGTAGGGCTGCAGAACCTTTCTGTAAACCAAGGACAATCCTGATACTCTTATCACTTTTCACAGGCCATACAAAGCCATTAACTGAAGATTTAGCCTGCAACAGATGTATTGAATTTCGAGTCTCATCCCTGGTTGCCTTTGCTCAGCCAAACATGGTGGAGACATTTAGGGTGTGACCTAGAGGATGGAAGATTTCTCTCCACCTGTTCCTCTGTCTTTCAAATAAAAGCAAAAGAAGAATGAGAAATTTGGGGGCTGGCATTATGCAGGTTAAGCTACCACCTGTGACACGGGCATCTCATATAAAACTGCCAGTTCAAGTTCAGGATACTCTGCTTCTGATCCAGCTTCTTGCTTCTGTGCCTGGGAAGGCAGCAGAAGATGGCTCAGGTACTGGGGCCCCTGCCATGTATGTGAAGGATCCAGAGCGAGTTTCTGTCTCTCACTCTCTCTGTTGTTCTGCCTTTCAAACAAATAATCTCTTAAAAGCAAACGGAACTGCTAATGTTTATTAGCTACATTGTAGCATTTATATAAAGTTTTTGTCTTTAGTATGAATTATTTTTGGGTGTATGACCACTACTATGTTTCTGAGTCAGAGCTATACAAAAAGACATATTCAGTAACTTCTTTCTGGCCCCACTACCTTATTCCACTACTCACTTTTCCCCCACTCATTTCCTACCCATATGTTACAGATAACCAATTTAGTTTCTTTCTTTTTTGTGTGATCATCATTTCCAAATTTTCTATTTACCCTTCCTGTTTCAGGGGGAGGGGAGATTAGGGGAGATTAAGGGGAGAAGCCATAGCCAGTACCCATGGATGGGGAATGGCCACCCAGTATCAACCCAGGGTCCCAATGTGGTGCAGACTCCAAGGATTCTGCCCAGGTGGTTTCAATAGTTCTGGAATGTTGTCAATCTTGCTGATTCAAGGATGAGGGAACCCTTTTAATGTCCACTGGTTGACACAGTTGACCTTAAAGGCTCCATTTGCCCAGATATTTGCTGTCACTGGCTGGGGTAGTTGCCCAATTTGTTCTGCCCTCCTTCCTCTGGGATGGCACAGATGTTCTCTGCAGGCCTCAATTTTGATCTGGGCCAGCTCTCCACTATGTCTTTTCCACTGAGAAGGACCAGTTCGTGCAGGTTTGCCCAGAATCCAATCCAGTTGACCAGGCCCCACTGGACCCACTGTCCCTGGGGCTCACAGACCCAGCACCCATTGCACAGTCAGGCCCAATGGCCTGGGTCAGGTGACCCGGTACCTGCTGGACGCTCCACCTCGAGGGCTCATGGACCCAGCACCCACTGCAAGGTGGGCAAAGGACCCGAGCCAGGTGACCCAGGCCCCACTAGACTCTCTGTTCCACAACTTACGGACCTGGCACCCACTGCCCAGGCAGGCCAAGAACCTGGGCCAGGCGATTAATTCAGTTTCTTATTTAGCTTTCCTACATTTCTTTTGAACAAATATGCAGATACAGTTGGCCTGTCTCTATCTGTGGGTTCAAATTTCACTCCCAAATTGCTGTTCTAATACACATACATAATGTGGGATGGTTAAATGTGTCTACAACATACAACAATTAAATTAAGCAAACAATATATAGACCACACAGCATTCTTTAGATATTCAGGAAAAAATATTACCATGGTGATTATTCTGCTGTACAACAAATCTCAATCCTTATTCCTCCCGTCTGAAACTCTATACTCTTTGATCAAAAACTCCCCACTCTTTTCTTCCTTCTAACCTTTGATAACCACCATTATACTTTTTACTTCTAAGAATACAACTCTGTTTAGATTCCGGGTATAAGTGAGGCCATGCAGTATTTGGCATTCTGTGTCTGACTTATTTCATATAGGATAATGTTGTCTAGTTTCATCTACGTTGTTCTAAATGACAGATTTCTTTCCCTTCTCTTGTTTAAGACTGATTTGCAATTTATGGTGGAGATACTGGTGGGCTTCAAAAAGTTCGTATGAAATGTAATTAAAAGATAACACACATGTTTTCAAGAGCTTATGGGAAATCTTTCACGTTACTTTTTCCATCTATTTTGTGTTGGTAGACATTTAGGTTGATTGTATGACTACTTTACATACAGGAGTGTAGGTATCCTTTTGGATGCTGATTTTAGTTTCTTTGGACATATATGCTGAAGTGGAATTCCTGGCTCATATAGTAAATCCATTTTTAGTTTTTTGAGGACCCTCCATACATTTTCCTACAGTAAGTGTACTAAGTCACATTCCCATCAATGATGTACAAAGATTGCCTTTACTTCTTCCCCAGTATCTGTTATTTATTTATTTTTTTCTTATTGATGGTAGCAGTTCTAACAAGGATGAGGCGAGTTCTCATGGTGATTTTTAATTTGGCTTTTATCTTTTCCTGTACTTTTGAGATAACACATATTTAATTTACATTATAGTAAAAGGCTTCATTGTGTTTAAAAAAACTTACTGATTTTTAAAGTCAGAATTAGAGAAAGGGAGAGATGGTAGGGGGTTGGGGAGAGAGGGAGATCTTCCATCCACTGATGCACTCTCCACCTATCCACTATAAAACTAGGAACCAGGAGTTTTATCTGGGTCTTCCACATGGCTGCTTTTCTCAGGCCATGAGCAGGGAGCTGGACAGAAGCAGAGCAGCCAGGACATAGCTACCCACAGTGGATGCTAGTTGTTCAGGTGGCAGCTTTACTTAAGATGCCACAATGCCAGCCCTCTTTGTGGTATTTTATATTTGCATTTTCCTAGTGAAAAGCGATGCTATTGGCCATCTGTATATCACCTTGGAGAAATGTCTGTTCAGGTCACATTTTTGAATTGGGTAGTTTCCTTGCTATTTAGTTGTTTAAGTTTCTAATATATTTTGGATACTAGCCTCTTCACAGACTTACGGTTTACAAATATTTTCTCCTATTCTTGGATTACTTTTTCACATTATTGATTGTTTCTGGTGCTTGTAAGATACGTTATAAATCTGTTCTTTCAATTTCTTGTCTTTTTGTTTTTTGGAGATCATGTGACATTTGAATAATATTTATGTAGTCAAAATTATTAAATTTCTATTCTATTTTTCAGGATTATATCTTGGTTAAAAAGTCTTTCTCTTTATCAAGGTTAAAGAGGAAGTTATTTTCGTTTTCTATTAATTTGTATGGGTTCATTTTTTTATATTTAGATCTCTAATCCATTGTGAGCTTATTCTTCTGTACGACAAACTCTTGAGATTAATTTATCTTATGCTTACCTAGTTGTCCCAGTGTCATTCAGCTAAAAATCCCATCTTAACCTAGAATATGAGATGCTGCCTTTTTCAAATACTGAGACAGTACATGCATTTGGGACAAATTCTGAATTTCTGATTCTATTTCATTAGTTTGCAACTCTATTCATGTACCAGTATCACACTGTTTTGATTATAAAGGCTTTATATTATGCTTTAATGTCTGCAGTCAGAGTCCTATTGTTTAATTGGCTACTGTGGAACCAAGGATAATGGTTAGCTCTGTTGCATTTCTAGATCTAAATAGCAATTTTCTACAGTTACAGATTGCCAATTATTTAAGTAAATGGAGATCATGGCCAAAACCAAACACAATATTAAAGAAAAGAGAGTCAGGCCAGCATGTTGGCTCAACTGGCTAATTCTCTATCTTCAAGCACCAGTATCCCATAAGGGCACAAGTTCAAGTTCCAGCTGCTCTACTTCAGATCCAGTTCCCTGTTTATGGC